CAGATCATACAGTAAAATTAGAACAGAATTTGCTCATAGGGAATTATAGGCTTACTAGCAGGTATAGCAATTCCTATTGCTATAGCAATTAGCAGCAGGGGCAAAAATAATTTTCCCCAACTAAGTAACTTGACCAGTAAGCAGGAATCAGTCAGAATAGATACAGTACCGAACAAGAAATAAAAGCCTTTTAGCTTTAAAAAAAGGAATTCATAATTGGCCATGATTGAGATATAAAAGACACAAATATTTAGAAAAAATGCTTAGCTTCTAAGTATAAGTATATTTGTAAACAATGCAATACAGGCTTACTGAAGTTAGTCAAATGAGTCACAGAAATAGAATAATATAGGTATTCCAGCAGGAAATTTGCTGTAGCCCTGAAAGGCAAGAGAAACAATCTGGAAAAGAAAAGTTTGAAGCTTTTTTTCATTTACTTTTATTTTCTTCCCTTAAAAGCAAGTAAAAAATAAATAAATAAAAGGAAAATTTCTGTTTGTTCTTGTAATACTCTTTTTTGCCACTAGGCTCTGAAGCAATAAGAGAGACACTGACTGTTGTGTGTATTCTTCTACTGTATAGTCAAAGCCTGGTTTGACTGACAAGGTCCAATTTCTTGTCTTATATAACTCAAAAAGTGTTTTAGGGCCAAACACATTTTTTAAAACCAAAACATAACTTCTTGCACTCACTTGTAGTTGGAAGCACCACCCTCTTGATGGATAGAAAATGTATTACACAAACAAACACATAGTAAAATGAGTTGGTTAAAAAAATGTTTTTCCTCTCTTGCAGTGCTTGAGAAAAAAAAGACTAACAAATATAACCATGGGTGTTTTTTTTGTGATATTGGAGGAAAAAAACGACTTAGAAATCTAAACTAGATCCACCCATCTGTTGTTGAGGTTAAAAACTCTTTAGGTTTCCCGACTACTTTCCATTTAGTTGTTGTATCAAAAACTAAAATTATAACTAAAAGTCAGGGGAGTGATGGCCTAGTGGGTTAGAGCAGTGTACTTGTGCTCTGAGAAGGTTGCAAGTACCTAGTTGAATCTCACAGCCTCCACTTTGGATTACTAAGCAAGACCCTTAATCCCTGATTGCTCCCCAGGTGCCACACAATGGCAGCCCTCTGCTCCCCAAGGGGATGGGTTAACTGCAGAGGTAAATTTCTCCAATGTGAGATTAATAAAGTTCAATTATTATTATTATTATTCAAATGTAAATAAATATAATCATTTAAGCATTCATATTGTTGCCACATTATTTCTTACACCAATATGTAATATACTGTGACAAGTTATGATAAGCATTGACTGACAGCAAGTCTAAGGTTATCTGGGAAATACAGTCTTGATCCTAAGAAAGGGGAGTTATGAAGTTGACCTACAAATATGCTGAATCATCCCTGAAAATAATTACCTATTGCTCATAAAAAGAAAAGATTGATATGATAACCACATGACATGGCCAATGAATACAGTTTTTGTTACTTTGCTAAAATCTAATTTTATATATACATTTAAAAAACCAGGCATCTCTAAACTTTTGAAGAATATAGCTGACATTGAGTTTCTGTCTTAAGACTACAATGCCTCTAGTGGCATAACAAAGTATTGCGAGAACAGTTAGTAACATTTCCCTTTTATTTTCATTTTTTACTTGCCTTTCAGGGCAGAATAAAAAAACATAAAATTAGTATGAGTCTTTTCCAGCTTTCCTGATAAAAAGGCCAATTATATCAAACTTAACAATAAATTAAATAGAAAAAATACAAATCATGGCATACAAATCAAACGCACATTGGCTATTAGCTGACTTAAAGATTTATTATGATTATTAAAACACAATGAAGGACTGCATGCTGCAGATGCAGCAAGTTCACATGCAAAGTCAATGGTCCATGTGCATCAAGGCACAGCAAAAGGTCCTGCAGCGCATTTTGAGCAGCATGTCTATGCAGCTGAAGCAATGCGTCATGAGCTTCTGAGCATCTGACGTGCTGCGAAAGCAGCAGGTGCTACAGTTAGAAAAAATTTAACTTTTGCTGCTAGACGTGTCGTATCAACCAATGAGAGAAGCTGAACTGGTAGCTGGTAGGGAGACAGGCACAGCGCTGCTGATGCAGAGAGCTATGATCACTCCACTGAAACAGTTTATTAACGCCTAAATTAACTTAAAAAGTCGAAACCTGCCGGCAAAATATGTTTGCTTTTATTATTCTCCTTCCAGCCACCGTGAACAGTAGCGGAAGCTCGCAAAAAGGTGACCGGACCAGAGGCTGCTGTTGAACTGGATTCCCAGTGACAGAGCTCCACCGGTGTACAGGGGTCTGAGCGGCTCTGATGGCGAAATAATATTTGAAGGCAGGATTGTAATCTTTATAAACTGAGATGGACTTTCTCACTTAAAACATATTAAAACTACTTTTTACCCACTTCTTAAAGCAAATATAGCAAAGCCGATCTCTGCCATTAAACAGAGGGGCACCAGACACCTCTGGACTCATGTTACTCGACGTCTGACCTTAATGTGGACATTAAAATACGCCAAGCGACTCTCTCGATTTTAGACGCCACTGTTACAGGCAAAGTAATAATAGGGTAGCTCAGCTCAACGCGCATCAGGCCCACTTTTCAGCTAGAGTGGCAAAGATGCTCCAGACATGCATCAGAACTAAACTAGTACAGGCATCAAAATTGAAGCAGCACACGTGTTTTTTCTGCTTCTGCTGCGTGCAGTGTGAATGTAGCATTAATTGGAATTGTCCTGCATGGAGCACAGTTTGAAGACAACGGAAAGCCAATATCAAACACATTCTGCTTGAATTAGGACTAACTGCCCTTGATTTAGATGTGAGAGTCCCACCTGTGTTTACAGTACAATTCACTTATCTATTTTTAACATTTCACTGAAATAAAAGAATCTCAAAATTGCACAAACATTTTTCATTTCATTAGCATGAATACAATATACCGGTATGTTTAAATGGCAATATAAAAGACAGCGGACTTAGTCAATTCAAAGAGCAGCTGAAGATCAAAGAATTCAGGAAACATTAGGATAAGTGACGCTGACATGTGTCGTGGCATTTCTCCATTTGACAGTGATGTTGCTCAGAGTGCATTAGTGTCTGAAGCCTCTGACTGACACTAACCCAGTGCCAGGCAAACAGACTGCAGCCTGGTAGAGATTCAACTGCATAACCACTTTAAAATCTTTCAAAATATGACAATAATAAACTCACTATCCAAGTTATTTCTAGTTTCAACTAACTTAAACAGACTAATGTTGTCTTCCTTTATAATAACTCAGTATTTTATCAAACACTATCTTTATATTTGATAAAAATGTTTTTTTTATTTTTTTTATTTTGGAGCCATGCTGACCTGTTGAGTTTTGCCAGTATGCATTAATTACGCAAAATAATGCAGGACTGACTCCCAACACCACCTTTTAAAATGTCTAGTCTAATATCCTCATTCCACAATTTTTTTTTTCCACAAAAGTGTGAGGATCATTAACACCAGGCTCACAATGCAGTTTGTGATGCCCAATTACCATATTTGGATTTTTTTTTCAGCATGGCCTGAATGAGCAGGTCAGGGTTGACTTCATTTATCAATGCACTGTTTATGGAAATCAAAACCAATGTCAGCATCTCTGTGTTATAAGTTATTGAAAGATTTTAATATGACAATATTATGACCACATCATAAAAATACAAGGAAAGGTAAGAAAAAGAAAGCAGAACTACTCACAATGTGCCTGTGTGGAGCAGTGAATGCTGTGCTAGAGGGAAGTCAGTACATTATCATCCAATCAGAATCTGGATAATAATGTGAGTCGGATGAATGTGAAATGACTGTTCAGACAGCAGTTGCTTTAAATACAATCAGATACATTTTTTATTCATAACTCATATTGATGTGGAATAATCTGGATTTTTTTGGGAGGTAAGAAATCTAATTTGGGCCGCTCTAAACTGCCATGAAAAAATTGTATACGGGTTAATTTGGGTGGCATTTACCTGAGCTGTGGACATAGCCTAAGACGCTCTGGGACTCGTATGGAAATGATTTTTTGCTCTGCTTTGATTTTATTGCTGAACAGCAAAAAGGGACCTTAAATGTGCCAAGTGATGCCTGTAGTTTCCCAGGTCCTGAAACGGTTCACTAGGGGATCGCCAGGTTTCCAAAGCTTTAGTAATGGGTTGAAATCTTTTCTAGGGTGGCAGATGTCAATAAATTGTAGGTTTATCCTTTTTTTGTAGTTGTTTTAATTGGGAAATATTAAACCACATTTTTGGCATATTTTAGCCCACTTTATACTATTACCGGTAGTGATTTTCAAAGTGATTTCTTGATTCCATGTGGTCAGGAAAATCAAACCCACATCATGTTAATAACATTGGATTAATAATTTTCTCTCAATAAATCACTTAAAAATGCTGGTGGTGTTTACTCAAGTTGTTTAGTTGAGGAGGAACAATCAGCTGAAACAGTTGTTACTTTAGCAGAGTGGGAATGTTAAAATGATCTTAGCATTCTGTTTACTTTAAGGGGACTTTAAAGAACATGATTGCTAACTAAGCATGTGGATGTAGCACAAATAACTGATTGACTGGAGGCTGCTTGAATAGTGGTTCAATCACAGTGTGATTAAGCCTTTTGTTTCATGGCCTCATAGACTGTTAAGCACTTACTTCTGGATGATTGGCTCTACATGTCTGAGGGTTTTCTCCCTAAATTGTCTGTGAATCCCAGCATATTTAGGTTATTCCAAACCTTTCTGGTGGCAAAGTCTTATTTTGTAGGCCACCCAAAAAAAAAAACACTAATACTGTTGGGGCAAATCTAAGGTAACATGGACTTCTAGAACCGCTGGTATCAAATACCTCTGTTACCAAACCTTTTTTTGCCATTGAATGTTTTTTTTTCTGTTCAAAAAGAAAAATCACACACAGAATGTAAGAAAACACAAAGGCTAAGAAGACTTACGATATTCATCAAAGTCAGAAGATAATTCTGCACATGCTCCTTGCCATGGAACCGGACTACTGAGTCGTCAACTCCCAGCAGGACTTCAATGTTGTAGTCTCCTTCTCCAGCATCTCTACGATGGCGGCGGCGGCGGTGGACTGTCTTGTTAACCTGCTGTGTTAATGAATCGAGTGTCCCGGGGACATTGAGATCTGGTTCTGAAAAGACAACAAACAACATTAAACAATTATTCAATAAAGCTATAAGATGCAGGTTTAATACATGGCTCACATTTTACATTTTGGCATACATATAACATTTCAAGCATTGCACTTTTGCAAACTCCTGGCAGGTTTAGATACTAGAATATATACTATATTTATATTTGTAATAGCACTGTGCAGTACAGTATTTTATTTGTTTACTTTTTATAGTTTGTTACTTATTCTGTTATTTTTTTTTACTTTTTAAGGTCCACATTTTGCGTGACCACTTTTGCTGTAATATTTTGCTGCTGTAACACCACAATTTACTCACTGTGGGACAACAAAGGGATTTTTATTATATTCCAAATATATATACATACACACATATATATATACATACAAACACACCCCCCCACACACACATATATATATATATATATTTATAGTCTGTAAAATATGGTACCTTTCCAATCTTACATGTAGTTTTATTAAATTCACAAAGGCTTTGAGGTAGCTTGTGTGTTAATAAATCTGTGTTTATTTAGTGAATTGAGTTACTGAATCCATACTTGTTAGGATTCCAGTTTGTGTGGGTTGTTTTTTGTGTTTTCCTCTCTCCACCACCAGGCGGTGCCCTGTCCTCGTTGGGCCTCCCTGCACACCTGCGGCTTGTTAGGTCATTACCAGAGGAGTACTTGAGCAGTGGGCTGTCACCACCTCGACGCCAGAGTGTTTGCCAGTATTGGGTACTCTAGCCAAACTGAGATTAGCAGGGTCTAACCTTAGCATTGTTTCTCTGAGTCTGAACTAGATTTTTTTTTCTTTGTTCTTCAGCAGGAAGACTTCCTGTGTTACTGGATTAGCCTGGACCTTCTACCCCTGGAAGGATTTACTGAATCTTACTGAGCAAGGGGAAAACCTCCACATGATCCGTTCAAGTCCACTCCTGGAAAACTAAGTGACAGCCCGCTCCTTTACTCTTCTGGGTCAAACGTATGTCTGCCTGTTCACTCTCCAGCGAGTTCCCTCTTTTCTAGATTAAACCCCCACAAACTGGTGTTGGGTTTTAATCCAGAGAAATGTGAGTTTAAAAGATTAAAAGGAAATAATCAACACAGAGACAGGGTTTTGTGACGTCAGCGTCTGCAGAGCGGAGAGAAGCTGCTGGCTTGGAAAACCAGCACCTTCTCACACAGATCCCTTCATGGCAAAGCCTTTTATTAAGAGTTTACAACATCATAAGGCGGGCCTAAAACAGAAGACCCAGTAATGATTATCTGGGAGGATGCAGGTAATAAGATGGCTGGTTTCGTCTGGTTTGGTCTGCCGCGGTTTCCGTAGACTCGTGAACGCGCTTTTAGGAAATCCTATACACTACTGTTTAGGCTCTAAAAACATTCTAAATGACTTCGTTTCGAGTAAATTATGGACGCTACCCACTCAGGACACTTGGAATACATTGGACGAGCAGTATGGAGGAATATTGACACGTTTTTTGTGGACTTTTATGGACCTTTCTGCCTCGGGCACCATAGACCTCCATTATTTGAATGTCAGCAGAGAGCAAGAAGCCTCCCAGATCTCCAGATGCATTTGAGATATCAAAAAAGTACTCCAGAGTGTTGTTCAGCATGGGGGTGAGTAGAAAATGAAGGCTAATCATGTTTTGGGTGTACTATTCCTTTAACTGATCACTGTGATCTCTCCTCCAGAGTTTTCGGTTCTGGTTCACCAGTCCACTGAGTTCCAGCATTGTTTCCCCACAGAGTTTCAATCTCAATCAGCATTTGCTAACCTACAATTAACCTGTTTAACTTTTACCCTTGATCTCTGAGTGGTTCTCTGCATGTGGGTCAGATCTTTAAAGCCCATTATGACAATACTAAATATGATCATTTGATCGGTCCTTCAGCTATCCGCTGCATCAGCCTCCTGTACTTAATATACTTGACTGGCTGCATTGATGCATTGAGTTTGTGACTAAATACCAATGACTGCAGAGCTTATGGCACAGAATAACTCCACCGTTATGACCTAAAACTTGACTTTTGGGAGAATAAATAAAATCTGACTGCTATGGTGCATGTGGGACATTCAAATACAAATCACGTCCAAATAAAAAAAGGCCAGAGTGACATACTGCCAGGAAAAGAGGAGACAAACAGAGTATGGCTATTGTTCGGGGCATTTTTACAGTTCACAGATCATCCTCTGAGGTTTAATCACAGACTTCAAAGCAAGCTTCTGCCTTGAATCCAAATGAAAATGGACTGATCTATTTACTTTGACAGATCTTGGGCCAATCTGCTTCCCTCTTTGCAACTAAGTGAGACCAAGAAATTGATAAAGCTTCAATTTTCGATAGAATAGACAGCAAGTATTTAAACAAAATATCTCTGTGAAACCAATTAGAGTGGCTTTATGGATAAGAAAGCATTTATCTTGTCTCCTCTGCAGTCCTCAAGAGAGCTTTAAACTCTGTGATACAGCAGCTAAGGTAAAAAAAAAATTAAGCGTTTTATAACAATACCTAAAATTACAAATACCTTTGTTTTGGGCACCAGCCATCTGGCTGGATGTCCCAGAACGGCTGCTGCACATACAGGTTTAAAACCTGTGGAGAAAATCTTGGCTGCAATTTAAAAGAATTGTGTTGTTGTGTCTGAGCGAGTGTTTTGTTTGTAGCTGAGAGCCCACAGAGAGGCTGTCATTAAGGATTGCTTCTGGTTTTGTTCAGTTTTAACCAGGGGGTGGGGGGGGGGGGGCAATTTAAGATTAAATTAAATATAAGAGGTTCACCCCTCTGGTATTTGTCACACTGCTTTATTGTTATCCGCCTTATTGCTGAGAGTTATGTTATGTTTTTTCAGGGAAAGTTGTCCTTACAATATGGGTAACCAAAAACTCAGGAGAATGATTCCATATCTCCACTTGGTCGGAACTCATTTAGATTTACTTCAGGATCTTTTAAATTGTTTTCCCATGTCACCCCATAGGAGATAATATGCTATTAAAATGTCAATAAAAGCCTTATGAACCTCCCCTAATAAATGTCTTACTTGAAAAAATCCCAAACCAAATGGCTATAGACTGAATATTTGAGTGTTGCTATACCAAATGCCTTGAGCTTTAACAAATCTTTTATATCTCTATAATAATGCACTATAACCACAATAACTCCTGTAACAACCACTGTGCAGCTATATTATAGTTTTTTATTTATTGACTGTGCAATATGCTGAATGTGCAATATATCATACCACTACCCAACCTGCAAATTTGTATTTCAAATATTTTTATCATTTCAGAAAACATGGGGAAAAGATGTCAACCAACAAATGAATGCAAGTAATCAAACTGTAAAAATATTAAGATGTTAAATCCCCTACGCTATTTAGAACATTTTTAAACTGGTAATAGATGTTTTACCAGAAATGTATACATACATTGGTGACTGCAAAACTTCTTTCTTTTTTTTTCTGTTGTCATTTCATTGGATTCGCTGGTAACTGTTGCTTTATGTAAAAGAGCTACAGTAATAGAATAGCCAGTGACAAATTCTGAAGCTCTCCTTGCCCAGCTGATCAGATTAGGTCAGACTAAAGAGGGCTGGGTAACAGTGTCTGCAACCCTTTTTAACAATGTTGTAATAAAGTGATTTAAATCCATGTATAATTTTCTTACTTCCTTATAATTGTTTTAACTATCTTGTCAATCTTAAAAAGCATTAGAAGCTATAATTGAACTATTTAGTGTTTCATCTAAACACATGGATCCCATTGATCTTTAATGTTAAACCATATCACAGACATTGGTTCAGGGCTAGTTGAGGCTCGTGTAGAGCTTCTAACTAAATATCAACCAAAAGCAAAGGAGGCTCATCTTACTTTATTAGCAAGAAATGATAACCTTTAGGTACTGAACACTGAACCAAAAAGGAGGTTAGGTTCATACAAATACAAAAAAAGGTTCAAATTCAAACAAAAAAAACAGTTACAGTTCCTTCATCTGTTAAAACAATATATTTATCTTACTCAGCCAGGTTAAAAGATGGGCTGTGTTTTAGATAAAAGTAACACTTAGATTGCTAAACATGATGATTGTGTTAATTCCAAAAAAAGTCACACACTCAGATACCTTGAAAAAGTTTTGCTTAGTCAAATGTTTAAATGGAAATACTTCAGGAAACCATGACAAAGAAAATAAGAAATTGTGATGCTCCATCAGAGTTCAGTTTGAATGCCTGTCATGTGAAGACAGCACCCATTTGCCTTTAGTTTCTCTGCATTTCATGAATTGCGTCTGAATTAAAAGTAGGTATAAACAAAACACAAGTTTAGATACTAGCTTCACGGGGTTAAAATCCAATATTATAAAACTCTGGGAAATCTCAAGCCATAAATTACAGCAAAGCCCGCTTGTTCATTTTTGCAGGCAAGCTTGGGGCTGCAAACAAGGCCAGTGATTGAGTGAAGCGGGAGCTAGAATAAATATGAAGCGATGGCTGCCACCTCAGCTGTGGCCCGACTCCGACAGAAGTAGGATTGTGGAGCACATTCCTCCTCTCTTCTGCTCTCGTCATGACACAGGCATTCTTGTGCCGCTGGCTTGCTCCCTCCTCCCGCTCTCGAGTAAACAGGCTTTTCTGAGGTCCCAACTTCAAACACACAGGACTTCCTCTCAGCAGAGCTCCTGCTGCTGCCACACCACGCAATGCTTTGCCATGCTACACCCCACCCTGCCCCGCCTCAGCAGAGCTTAACCCTGGCCTGCAATCCGGTCCCACGGGAGCCCTACCAAGCAGTAGCCCATGACACAGGACCCAGCCAGCGCCTGCCCAAGGTGGGAAAGCGTGGGCCAGACTACCACAGGTTAAAAATGGCATTTAGGTAGGCGACAGGCAACTCTCCTTCAGCCTGGTGGAAATCTACTCTGTCTGCTGGGAAGTCTTTAATACACACTTTGCTCCATTCACAGAAGCTACCACTCCAGAGACCCATTAGTGGGAGTAG